GAAATTTGGAATTTGGTGAAATTCACGATCGGGATGTTTTGAGCATTCTTTCTGCATGTTTGGGTGGCGTTCCTAGTCAAGGAACTGCATGTAGGTGCGACGGTTGGATGATCATCAGCCCTAGGGTATGGTTTCTGAAGTTTAGACTAATGGTTTCTCGGTTTCGAGGAATATATTATCGGATTTGGTTTGTATTTGTAGTTCTAAGAGTTCCTGGTTTGATTGGTTTTCTCTAGAAGTAGGATCATGCAATTAGGGAGAGAAGGAAAATTTTGTGGTTGAGCATTTTCAAGTTATTGGGTCGTTGGTTGACAGATGTGGGTTCTAGAGTGGTCTCTCGAGTTTCTTTGTAATATGGCTTGGTGTCGAGATGGTTAGAGAGAGCTTACGGAAAATGTCAACGTTGCTTCAGGGATCTTAACCAAGATGGATTTCGAGGATGAAATCCAGTTTAAGTGGGGGAGAATTGTAATATCCTGAAGTTCTTATTTAGGGATTTTTGGACAATAAATGAATCAAATGGAAACCTTGGGCTTCAATGTAATGGAGTTTAGACTCTATTGCAAGTGTATAATGTTGGATAAGTGATTTAAAAATTGGATTGTTCGATCCAAGCTGAAGGGTAAAATGGGAAAGGTTATATTTTGGGCTTCTTGCATAAATTAAGGATTTTAATTCAAGATGTTTTTAGTCATAAGTATCATGATAGGATTGTAGAGCTCGTCGATACCTTTCCATGGATATAAAGATCTTCGAAAACGGAGTTGAAACAAATACGTTATGGTTGTTTGAAGGTAAGTTGGAAAAAAGGAGTTTGGCAGTATGCTAAGAGTACACTAGCTAGTACGCTAGGCATACTAGGCTGAAGGGGACGCATTTTTGGGGTGTTACGCTAAGAGTACCGCCGCAGTGTTAAAACCCTAATTTCATGGTTTTGAGCCCTATTTAAGGACTCAAACCCCTTGGGGTCCTTCCTAACATCAGCCACCGCCCTCTTAAGCCTCCGACTCCAACCCTAGCCCCTAATAGGAAATATTGAGCCTTTTTATGTGTTTTGGGTACATTTTGGATGAAAGAGAAGTACAAGCTTGTTGATTGTTGAAGCTCAAGCTTGTGGATCCAGAGCCTACATTGCTTTTCTCAACTCTAGAAGGTATAAAGCTTGAACCTTGATGATGCATTTGTTAGATCTAGCTAGTTTTGGGGTTTATGAGCTTTTTGGTCCCATAATCTTGGTGTTCATGAGTGTGGCTTACTATAAACCATAAGAGTTGTCCTTTAAGACGTTTTAGAGTGGCAGGAAGCATAAAAATGTGAACTTGGTCTCTTTATTCCCTCCATACAAGAGTTATGATGCTTCGGTTTGTGTTTTAAGTTAGGGTTTTAATTTTTGGACCACTACTAGTCATGGAAAATCATAAAGTTTGAAACTTTATGACTTAGAATGATGTTTGGGACTAGATCTGAGCTTTGGACATGGTATCTTAATGGATTAAGCACTAAATGAAGGAAAATGAAAGTGGTCGAGTACGCCGGGCGTACCTGGTGGTAGGCTAAGCGTACCAGGCTAGATCCCCATAATCAGGAAGGGATTATTTACGTTGAGAGTAGTGAGTTGGCGTGCTTAATCTTTGTTGACCTCCTTTGACTTTTTGACCTTGATTTTGACCATGAATTTGATCAAGTTTGAGTTAGGGGCATTTTGGATATTTTGAGCAGTAGTTTGAGACTAGATCATTGTTTGTGGTATAGGTGACCTGTAGAGTTGGCATTTGGAGCAACATTCATTTCTGTTATCTTTCAGACTGAGAGGTGAGTTTTCCTTACTGTACTTGTGGGTCGAGGGCACCAATGCCTGCCCACTAGGTTATATATCATGGTATATAGGATGTTGTTATGTTGGTTATATGATAGGTTGGTAGATCTGTATGATTACCTGTATTTGTTGGATATATGTTTATCTGTTGTATATGTCGACATATTGTGGTTGGGTTGAGGCGGTCCTAATTTTTGTTGAAAGACAAGATATCTGTGGTGGTCCAGATAGGCTGTAGGACTTGCAAGGTGGTCTAGTCGGGCCGAAGGCCCGGAGAACGGTCCAGATAGGTTGTAGGCCCTGTGAGGCAGTCCAGTCAGGCTAAAGGCTCATATTTGCATGTTGTTATCTGTTTGGTTGTGTATTGTACTTTGGGGGAAATCACTAAGTTTTGGCTTACAGTTTGATTATTATGGTTTCAGGTACTTCAGAGGACAGGGGCAAGGCGAAAGTTTGATCATGCACATCATTCGAATTTTATGAGATTTGATTTTGGGATACTCTAATTTATGATTTTGACATTTAGGCACTATGTTTTGTAAACATTTATGATTTTTGGTTTGGTTTTGAAAATGAAAATTCTACCTTGATTTTTGGGATGTTACAGTATTAGGTAAAAAAGTAACATATTCTAACTTGACTGTTCATCAATATACCCGTAGGCGACACAAGATACATCTAAAAAATAAACATCCCATGAAAAGACAAGCATTGCTGGAGAATGAGCACAATGAAGCTATCAGTCATTGGTTAAAAGATGAGGTAAAATAATGATCCAAGTTAATTTTTGTTTTGAGAAATTTGTACATTTTTCCCTGTCATTCATCAATTTCTTGAACAAAACAGTAACTGATCAATATGCCCCCTAAGACTTATCCTTTTAATGATATCTAGGTAGAGTGAGAGATGACGATCAACATACATAGCGTTTCAGAGGACTGAAGGTGGGGTTCTCATGGCCCATAACATGTCGTAATGAAATATGTTGTATATCACATCAATGGCTACCTATTTCGTACACAATCCCGTGAAGGTATAGTTAACCAAAATAATGGGGTTTGTGTAGAGTCAAATGACACACATATAATTAGAAAAGAATAAGTAAGTTATGACAACACCTTTTATTATGGTGTTCTAAAAGATATATGGGTTCTAGATTATCATATAAAAAAATTCCTATTTTCTAGTGTGACTTGGTTCATAATAAGAAAGGGATAAAAAAGATCCTTTTGGCTACACCTTGGTAGAACTAGATACATTAGGGCATAAGGACAATCTGTTCATACTTGCCTCACAAGCACGACATATATTCTATGTGAGAGACCCGGAGGATAATAAAAAGTCAATTGTGATCGTGACACCTCCAAAAAGTTATAGAGATGCATATGAAAGCGATGATGGGAAATACATTAAAATAGTTTTCCCACACAAAGATAAATATATAATGTCACCTCTAGATAAACTTGATATGGATGTTGAATCTCACAATGATTACTTTCGGTGAGACTGTAAGTGTACAAAAATACATAAGGGCAAAAAGAAGTTGTGAAGATAGACTGGCTGCAGGACAAAACCTAGTACTATTCGTTTATCTTTTATAAGTATTGTAAATATTTTTAGGTTTGTTTTTTTCTTTTTGTTAATTTTCAATATATATACCCAGTATACCGAGGCCTGTTGTTGTATACCCAATATTTTTTATTAATAATTGGTTTGATATTTTTGGTTTTTGTTAAGATTTACCTATGTTAAAATATTAACTTGATAAATTCTTCATAGCTAGTATAATCCTTTCTTTTCCTTCTTACACGTGTGGAGTTGATCATATTTACTTATAACATTAGGTGCATGGGAAAAACAATATAAAATAGAATGTGATGAATAATTTGAATGACCAAAAAATATTTATAGTAAGGCTGATATTTTACAACTTGTAGCGAAAAATTATGATATTATGTCCAATGTTTTTAAACCGGTTCGAACCGGGATTCACGGACGAGAGCGGTTTAACCAACAACCGATTTATTGTTAATTTTTAGACCGGATCGAAACGGACGGTTTCTTAAAAAACCAAGTTGAACCGGTGTGATAGATACGTTAAAAAAATGTTTGAACAAGTTTATTAAACTTGGATAGTTTGAAACGGGTTATTGGACTTAGATACTTGGATTTCACTTAGCCCATTAAAGTACATATCAAATAAAAACCCAGTTATAATATATGACATTTGGCTACCGTTTTCCGCCGTTGCAGGACTTGTCACGAGTTTTTTCATGTTAGAAACTTCAATATAAGATTTAATCACTTAAAATGAAACTTCAACACCATATGTCTCGCTTAATAACCGATACAAGGTAAATACACATACAAAATAACAAAACCCGTTAGTAAATAGAACATTTGCCCACCGTTTTAGGCCGTTGTACAAGTTGTCATTTTTTTAATGTAAAACCGACATGAATGTGTGAAGTTTAATGTGCAATGGTGACTCGTTTTCAATAAATTGTCATGGAAACAATCATGCGAGATAGTTTATGACCTTTAGTGATGAGAAATATGAAAACCGAGAGAACTCGGTTTAAAAAGACGACACCATAGCACAGTTTGTACTAGTGTATATTGGTGTGACACGGTCTCTTATGTCTCTATATATGTTAGAATATCCCTCTCTCACAATGACTCTTTTGAAAAGTTGATATGGGCACCCCGCTCCACATATAATTACAGGTTTCTTTAGTACAAATGTTATTAAATATCTAAAAAATAATATGTTATTTGTTGGTCTTAAAACATTATTAAATATTTTTTGCGGTCTATAGGCTGTTTTGTTTTACAAACTACATATAATAGTCTTTATTCATACATTTTTTCCATTTAAAAATAAAAAACACCCGTTAATATAAGCTATAATTTTAGCATATTGATTTATTGACAAGTTTAGATTGGAGCATATATGCCAACAACTTCTTTGTGTGTGTGGGCATATTAAATTAATGTGTTATTCTAGTTTTTGCATATGGAATATCCAAATCCGATAGAAGGAAAATAAAAAAGGTTTAAAAGTGTGTTTGAAATTTCAACCATCATGGGGCGACGTAACAGCTGGGGAAAGCCAAATAGTACACGAACCCCTCTATATAAACCATGCTACGATCAACGTTAGCATGCACACCACCAAAAGCTCATGGCTTCTCTTCCCACACCAACAGTTACAGCTGCCGGAGCCACCACTAAAACCTACTCTTCTTCTTTCACCACCACTTCCCCTGTCATCTCTTCTTGGCCGTTGTTCTCGAAGAAATGTGCCCTTAATAAGCCACTAAAACACAAAATCTCTTGCAATGCTGGTTCTTCTGAGAACTCCCTGAACAACCTTGATCGCCGGAATGTTCTTCTCGGTCTCGGTGGTCTCGCCGGAGCTGTGAACTTGACGTCAGTTCCGTCTGTCGGAGCTGCGCCAATATCCGCCCCGGATATTTCCAAATGTGGGACTACTCCTCTTACAGGGTTTAGACCTGGGGACAACACTCCTACCGGCGGGGACTGTTGCCCGCCGGACTCCACCCAGATCATGGACTTTAAGTTCCCTAAGAATGAGGCGTTCCGGGTGAGACCCGCAGCCCATTTGCTCAGCCCTAAGTACATTGCTAAATTCAACGAAGCGATCAAACGCATGAAGGAACTTCCCGAAACCGATCCCCGAAACTTTCTGCAACAAGCACACATTCACTGTGCTTACTGCAATGGCGCTTACACTCAATCTTCAAGTGGATTTCCCGATATTGAAATCCAGATTCATAACTCATGGCTGTTTTTCCCCTTCCACCGTTGGTACCTCTACTTTTACGAGAGAATCCTGGGGAGCTTGATCGATGATCCCACTTTCGCTTTGCCATTCTGGAACTGGGACACCCCTGCCGGAATGACAATTCCGAAATACTTTAACGATCCCAAAAACGCAGTCTTTGATCCCAAAAGAAACCAAGGTCACTTGAAAGGAGTCGTCGATCTAGGTTACAATGGGAAAGATTCAGACACTACTGATATCGAAAAGGTGAAGAACAATCTCGCGATAATGTATCGTCAAATGGTGACAAACGCCACCGACCCCACAGCTTTCTTCGGTGGTGAGTATCGTGCCGGAATCGAACCCATTAGCGGTGGTGGATCAGTCGAACAAAGCCCACACACACCTGTTCACCGGTGGGTCGGTGACCCAAGAGAACTAAACGGTGAAAACCTCGGTAACTTCTACTCCGCCGGTCGTGACACGCTCTTTTACTGTCACCATTCCAACGTCGATCGAATGTGGTCGCTGTGGAAGATGCAGGGAGGCAAACACAAGGACATCACCGATCCCGATTGGCTCAACACCTCTTTCGTGTTTTACGACGAAAACAAGAATCTTGTTCGAGTGTATGTTAAGGATTGTTTGTTCACAAACCAGCTAGGGTACGACTACCAGAGAGTCGACGTACCATGGCTAAAAAGCAAGCCAGTCCCACGTGCACCCAGGTCTGGAGTTGCGAGGAAATCCATCGGAAAAGTAAAACAGGCGAAGGAAGTTTCCTTCCCGGTGAAACTCGACAAGATCGTGAAGGTTTTGGTGGCAAGACCGAAGAAATCAAGAAGCAAGAAGGAGAAGGAGGACCAAGAGGAGCTTTTGATTGTGCAGGGTATCACTTATGATAGCGAGAAGTACGTGAAGTTTGATGTGTATGTGAACGACGAGGACGACGATGCTAGTGCACCAGATCAGACTGAGTTCGCCGGAAGTTTCGCACAGTTGCCACACAAACACAAGGGTAAGACGATGAGCAAGACCAACTTCCGCGCCGGACTGACGGAGCTGCTGGAGGATCTGGAGGCCGACGACGATGATAATGTTTTGGTGACGATTGTCCCAAGGTCCGGATCCGAAGACATCACCATTGATAACATCAAGATCATATACGCTTGATTTCAAGATTTGACGACTCTCAGTTGGGATCATTAGTTAAAATATGTTTGATTAATGATCTTGCTATTCCTTAATTATTACTATTATTATCAGCGTAGTTCGACCCTTGATTAGTGGTGAGGGTTGATGTTTGTCAGCGGAATGTTTGGGATTGAGTCCGAGTTCATGTGATTCATGGGTCGGATTTAAAATAAAATCTGAGTCGAGTTGGTCATGTCGTAATTTGGGGTTTCACTTTTGACCAAATCAATGTTAATTATAATTTAAATAAAGTATTAGTTCTCCATCTAAATATGTCTTGTTTTTCATTTCTACAAACAATTATTGATTAATTTAAGGTTTGAGATTATTAAAAAGAATAATAATACTTTCAGGAAAAAGTTCCCTTTAGCGTGATATTATTCCATTGTATTTTAGCTAGACCTGATTGCTTTGCCAAAAAACATAAGTCATATTACAATAACTTTTTGCAAGGATTAAGCAATTTTATTTTAAACCTCATTGAACAAGTTATAAATTAATTACACCAAAGTTGGTTACAAATATTGCAATTAACCTGTTTGGAAACCTAGTAGCTCATATGCTTCCAAGGTGCGAATTTGGGGTAAGGACGAATAATACCCGATGACATTGAGGTGCTTCCTTTCACTTGTAGTCTCAAAATTCTCTAGTCTATTATTTTGCTATCCGGTTATCTATTAGGTCCCCCAAACCTTAATGAGCCATTTGAATATCTGCGTTACTTGTCACATGATGCTCTTTGGGGCTGAAATGATATTGCATGGTTGGGATACTGCAAATCAACATTTTAAGGTTTGCCCTAATCTAACTTTTTACACCTTTATGTTGTTATTGTATGATAACATGTATTTTAACTCGATTAATCTAAAAGATTAATGCAAAGACTTTTCGCACATGATCAGTCAAGTCAAATATAAACAAAAAATGAATAACGGAATATATGTAGTAGGTGGCTAGGTGCACAATTATGTAATGAATTTCTAAATGACAACCTTTTTCCCACTTAAAGTTAGATCCACATATACTAATTTATTTTTATGATCTCACCAACTATATTTTGTGGTTTGAATGAAACACGTTTAAATAGGACAAAACGTTATTTTAAAAAAATTGTATGCTCCCTATTAAAAATAGGCGAATGTTCATTTGAAACAGAATTATCTGTATAAGATATTGCCCATATATTTTAAGGGTTAAAAATAATACTTTTATTTAATTTTCATCACTTTTAATATATATATATATATATATATAGAGGTTTATGTTATAATGTGGATTGTAATGTAAGGATCATTTGTGGTCCAAGCATTTTTCCTAAATTAAATTATATTTAAAAATGGAAATTATTGGATTTCAAGGGATAATTGATTTTTTAATTTTAAAAATTATGATTATTTTTTAGTTAATTCAAATCGAACATATTTTTTTAATCATAAACGATCTGATTCTGTTAGAATGATATTCGGATAGAATACATATTCTGATTGAATGAACATTTTGAAAAATAACAAAAATTCAAACCGATGACTTGAAGAATAATAACAAAAATTACATTAATTCTTATAGAATACGGGTAACAATTACTAAGAATTACATTTATTGTTAAAGAATAAAACTAAAAAAACTTTCAAATCGGGAAAGAAAACATTAAAATCTAACAAAGACACTAATACATTCTAAAAGAATAATGTTGCTTAGAATCACTTTCAATTTTATGGTCCGTTCTTCAAGCATCAACTTCTGTGAAAACAAAACCAAATTATAGTTTAGAATCCAATAATGCATTAGCAAATGAAAAATAAAAAACTAAGTTCCTTTGGAAAAATATGCAGACTTGTGAATTGCACCAAAACCAATAACCAAGAATTGTAGAACATGCATAAATCAGTGAGAAAAAATTCATATTCCATTCCAACAGAATTGGAATTCGTGATTCCATTCCAATAGAATTCGAATTCAAGATTCAATTACCGTATGTATTCTGTTGGAATTAACTCATAAGTTTTACTTCACCTGATCATTATGTAAAACAAAATTCAAATATTTAATTACCTCGCCTCACATTATTCATATTGTAGTATAGATTCTACAAACAAATCCATTATCACATTACCAGTTATCAATTAATCTTGCAAAAGGTAAAAGCCAATAAATCATATAACGTATTACTCAAAAAAAAAAACAATAAGGCTTCAAGTATATGAAGCTAAGAATTTCAGCGAACAATTCAAATTGAATGAACATTTTGAAAAATAACAAATAACAATCACTTACTTTTGCACTCCTAAATGATACATCTTTTCAACATCAGTAAATTTCTTCAATTTCTCATAATAAAGAGCATAGGCCTGGAAAAATAGTGACCTCTTGTTCCCAATGTGATTCGCCTTCATGTTCTCCAGAACAGCACCAGGGTCATCAACAAAATCCAACTTCATATACACAACAATAACATAAATATTAAATATGAATGATTTTTTAATCTAAGCACAGTTGCTAAAAGAAAACAGATTTCAATTTGTGACAAGGAACTGCAGGAAAAATAGATTTAGGATTTTGTGCTTACCGGAGCGATGGGAGAAGAGGATCTGCGCCATTGTAGGTTTTGATATCACAAATCAATGAAGAAAATAGATTTGCATTGTTGGTGTTGGAGTTATTCGCCATAGTTGGACCTTCAGGTGAGGTATGTGCGTGTGGGAACGTCTGTTAGGCAGGGAGACCTAAACAATTGAATTGACAAAAAAATAAAATTCAAAAATGCAGATTTAGATTAAGGGATCGAACAACATACCGATTTTGTGGAATCGAGAACTTACCTGGGAGAAATCGATGATGGCTAAGAGAATAGGGTCGGCTGAATCGATGAAGCACACAGTCAAATTGAGTCCCGATCTTGACGATGGCGATAATTAAACACAGACAACAATCGTAGCTTGAAGATGTACGGTGGGTTGCAGTGCTTCAATCGTAGCTTCACAGGAGAGAGGATGTGCTAGCCGGAGGTGGTTCAGTAATTCTGGATGGAAACGGGAGGGATGTGATTTTGTGGGTGTCAATGGAAGAGACAATAGGGTTTTAAATAAACTAATTTGCCTAAATTAAAGGATAGATGATTTAATAAATTATTTATTAAAATTAAATAATACTTGGCCCATATTAATCCCTACATCCACACAATATTTGTACATCCACATTTGAACCTACCTCTCTCTCTCTCTCTCTCTGTATATATATATATATATATATATATATATATAGAGAGAGAGAGAGAGAGGTATGTTCAAATGAAAACATTTTCTAAAATGAGAACATTTGAGAACATTTTTTAATTAGACTAATACAAAAGCCCCCACCCCACTATGTTGTCGGTGGTTACTAATTCTTTACTTTCCTTTACTTATTTTTTTGTCTCATTTCTCCGTTAATTTTGCCAGGTGATAACATCCACATTTCTGCTTTCTACCCGATCTCTTCGCTACTGTAAAATTTTCACACGCAGAATTTGCATTCATCTTCTATCACTCGACTTCTATTCTATATAAAATCATTTTCTAGATATTGATCCAAATCCGAATCAAATAATGTGCTAAGCTAGATCTACGTCGGCATACTGATAACTGATCTGAAGCAACTTCGATCTTTTTCTCTGTCTTCAGGTTTAATGACTAGCAAGATAGATCATGATTACGATTACTTACTCAAGATCATGTTAATTGGTAACTCCGGCGTCGGGAAAACCAACATTCTGTCACAGTTTACCAGGAACGAGTTCTTCCTCGAGTCCAGAGCCACCATTGTCGTCTAATTTGCTACCAGAACTCTCCAGGTTTCAATTCTTTCGTAGATCTACAATCACAAACACAATAATTATAACTTATATAAGATTTGTAACCATGATTTGATCGCAGGTTCAGGGAAAAACAATAAAGGCACAAATGAGAACATTTGCACACCAACTGTTTGATGAAAGTCCTCTTAGAATTTTTTAGTAAGTAGGGGATGATTTGACGATGACAAAAAGCTTTGAAAGGACCTGTTTAAAAAAGTGCTTAAGTATGGATGAATTACATTTTGCTTGCCAAATAGTGGCCGGTAGCATCACAAATCTATATAGGTATCTTTTATTCTTTTTGTTATTCGTTTTGCATCAACTAGACTTGAACCAATGCTACTTTCTCAAAAAAAAATTTGGTGATGGATCAATACTAGAAGACAAAAATATATCAGTTTTTTTTGTTGGTCCATCTTATAGAAGTTTCTCTAATTGCTATGGAGGAGGAACTAATCTACTAAATAGCTTCTGTTCACAAAATAAAGGATGTCTATAAATATGCATGCATTAAGGCCATTAGGTTAAATTTAATTTCACAATTCAATAGCTTAATAAGTAACCAACAATCATATAAAAAGTGATAAACTTTAGGCTTAACCATTAAGTCCTTAATAGAACACCAAAAGTGATTTAAAAGCTATTATGATCAATTTTTCCAAATTTGTCCTCCAACTTATAAAATTCGTGCAAGTCAATAAGAACACCTAAAAATCATGAGACTTACTTTTTTGGAAATCTTAGTGTATCTAGTTTCTTCAAACTTTGAATCACATTTCAAAATTCCAACTCCTTAAGGGGTAAAATTGACAATCTTCTCAGGCTGGTCCATGCTGTCACAAATTTCATGCATTGTCTTCAAAATATCATAATAAATTCATTAGAACTCCAAATGCCAAAATTCCAAATCCTATAGTTAGATATGGATGTATAGTTTCCCACATATAAAGGAACTAATGTAATTCTTAGTAGATTGGTACAGTTTATTCCAAGAGTGTTGAGTGGTCCAGAAAGTGACAGCTTAAAGTTACTAACTTGTAAATTTAATATAAAATCAACCAGAAATCATTAGAATGAGATCTTTATATTTATGAATAGATAAAAGGGGGTACTTTACCAATATTATTTTATTGAAATTTAAGAATGG